AGATTCGACAGTATGAAGAAAAATATACGGAAAACACAAACAAAAATCCTAATATGCAATTATGCTGTTTTAATGTTAATATAATCTCAACGTCCAACGTTTCGGTATAGTAGACCATCTTCAGGACATATTCATAAAATACTAACATAAAATACTAGACCTGGCTTCTTGAATGTTTCCCCTTTTCTAGCAAGATTAATGCTCGACAAACGTACATATAAGTTTTAGATTAAAATAAAATTCTTTTCATTTTTCATTCAAAATACTATATTTTAGGAATACGTTTTTCACAATATCGCCGACGTGACGTCGACGTGATCATATTGAAACGGAACGCTGATCTTGAAAAAATTTCAGTTGTCTGTTTTGATCACTCTTACTCTTATGAGCATCGTCTTCTTATAACGATATATATATATATATATATATATATATATATATATATATATATCGTTACAAGTGTCATTTAAAACAGCACACCGTAGTATTATTACAATATCTGGTCTACAGCTACCCAATCCTCATTCTCAAACATTTACAGAGTTCAATAACATATACGCAGCCTTGTGGATGATGAATTATTTCAACACTACAATCCCTTTCCCACCTACGCGTTGGGGCAAGCTTATCGCTACTCCTTTGCTATTTCAATGACAAATGTTCCGACGAGCTATATTCCTTAGTTCCACTAATTCCAACTTTTACAGCAAACAGCCAGCATGCCAGGGACACGGGGAGCGGAGGTCGAGTCAACCTGATTCTCTTCGTAGATCTTTGGTAAGAAGGAAATTCCACGCTACCTCTTCTTTTCTAGAACCATTGCTTTGTGGAAAAGATTCCTGAGAAGATGCTAGGGTCAACCATTATCTAGTCTATATATACTCATAAACTGAAATTTCTTTCATATAATGACTTCATTAAATAACGCTCTACTTTGGGTGACTCTTGGACTTTTTACTGGATAAACATTTAGTAAAATAAAAGGCGTTCTAGTGATATTTTGTTTAATTCCAGACAATTTCTTTAAACTAAATTTCTGATTCCTTGAATTACATTACTATTAATTATTAGATTAATTATTATTATTTCTAATCAGTACCTAGACAGTTGACCTCTTGGGGGTTTCAGGTGCTGTATCAGCTTGAATGTGCATGTGGTGCAATGAATGATGGCTCGGAATATTGGGAGAGCCGAGATCCAATTCCTGTTGGGTTCGTTATATTCACTTACGTGCAAATACCCTTGGGAAAGGTATGGATCCACTTTTCCCCCTTCAGCTATGGGTCAATTATTAAGGCTTATATGACTAAATTATTATTATATCCAAAAAAGAAAGAAAAACATCTTAAAATCTAAAAATATTTCCTGGTGTCAAATAACCTGCAAAAGTTTGAGAAACCGTAGAAAATGAATGAATTATTATTGTTGCTTTATAATGAATATTATTTTATTATCAGATTATTTATTTGAAAGTATTATTATCATATAATAATTGTGCTAGTCCTTTATTTCGTTAGTTCCTTAGCTCACACTGTCGTTACGTCATGACAATCTTACTTATTATAAAACGCAGATTTTGTGTGTGTGTGTGTCTGTGTGTTTATATATTGGATCGGATTTCCTACATTTTTCAACCGATTTCAATAAAACTTCACAGGACTACGTAAAATTACCTTGCGGTGGTTCTAACAGTGCCAAAAATTGGAAAACAATTGCTTTTGCACGAAATCAATTTGAAAACACGATTAAGAGGCATCACGAGAATGAAAGGGGGACAACTCATATCGAGTTATACTTATTATAAAACCCAGGTTGTTTGTGTGTGTGTGTGTTCGTTTATATATGGGATCGGATTTCCTACATTTTTCAACCGATTTCAACAAAACTTCACTTTTTTTTTTGGCAGGTAGTGTTTCTTATTGTCTTAGTATTTATCGATCCACCCACGATGATTGAATATGACACAAAGCCGGTTTAATCTCCGTAGGCCAAAAATATAGCCTAGACGGGTTCAGGCCCTGTCTACCTCCCCGAACGCAACCTTGCCCTTCGGCAAAGCTTCGTGCGGGTTCCTCTCTGCTAATGCAGAGAGTTCGACAGACGTCGCTTACAGTCAAAGACTTAGCTAGACTCGGAGGTCTTACCCTCTCTGTCTATCTGCCTGTTTCTTATTGTCTTGCACACTTTTTACTTTATTTTCAAATACAGAATGCTTTAAAAATTCCATTTACAAGACAATTGTTTATAATAAAATTCTATTCAATCAGTAGATCCATAACGATTGAAAACAATGTTTTTGTTTGAGTTTGGGTTTGACCAATTTGTAAAAAAAACAAAACAAAAAAAAACTAATTAAGACATGCGTGTCCATCAACCTTAAACAATAATATTTGTCAATTTTATTTTTCAGTCTTTATGATGGTCGATACTTGATCTATTGTGGCACCATTTACCAAGGCAGAAAAAGAAAAGAAAGAAAAGAAGGAAAAAAAAGAGGCGAGACCCAAAACGTGTATGATAAGCAGAACACCACGGCTAAGAGACAATGGTTAAAGGATATTTTGATAAGTAACAAATGGTGAAAAGTGTCATTACAATGAGAGGAAATTCTGAGTGGATAAAGGAATCAGGTGTGTTTTTGGCGACGGCTGTGTTATCTGGGATGCGTAAACAAACTGCTGGCCAAAGAAAATCCAAATGAAAATGTTATTTCGATAAGTGACGGAAAACAGGTGGACAAAAGGGCTTTGGATAGATATGAAAAAATTTGTGTCAAAAGCCGCACACGATGTGTCCACTGACCGATTTCTTTCGACGGAACATCTTTAGCCTGCGATAATAAAAATTATGTTATCAGAAATATGTACCGAAAGAAAATGAATGGGAACTTAGAAATGTTCTTTTCGGGCGACGTCTTGTCGTGTTAAAAGACCACCATTCTAATAATTAGCGATAAGATGACTGGCAAGAAGCCCAGGTGTAGAACGAGAGTTATGACCACTGTCGTTTGCGGCTAGAAAAATGATAACTGCGATTAAGAGGAAGAAAGGAAAAGAAAATATAATTTTTTTTTTTTTAAGCAAGATATTTGTTTTCCTGAAACAAAGCCGGGGATTCGTCCACGCCGACTAGGACACCATTGGTCAGTGGTGATCACGTGACGCACGAAGGGGCTGTCGCCGCCCATCCAGAGGATAGGTATGAGAAGCTGCTACGAAGAAAGTGGGGAGGGCAGCTCACGCCCCTCTGAAGTATGGTGAGAAGGTGGGGTAAGAAAAAGGCTCCCAAAAATGGAAAAAAAGTGGAAAATTCCTAACCAGAAATAAAAAGGGTGGATATGTATTTAGAATTATCGAGGAACCCCGACGCCGACAAACCCACCCCGGTTTTGGTCGGCGTCCATATAAAACAAGCCGAAGCGAGCAGAAATCAGTTCAGTTCAGTTCAGTTCTGCAGGTGGAGTTGCAGCAGAGTTCGAAGCTCGCAGTGGAAGTTGATTCCACCTCGCAGATGGCTGACTTGAAAGATTCACGCACATTCGGACTCCTATTCAATCCAAGAACAATTATTTTGAAGAGCGACTTAGATCCAGACCACCAAAATAAGTTTTTTCGAGTTTCGTCCGAAGACACACCGAAAAACCAATTTCTTAAAGAGCAAACAACTTAAGCGTTAAAACTCGCCCTAACGGAAAACAACGTGTCACAATCCATAGAACGGGTCGGGAGATAGACGCAGTCCTATGTATCGAACAACTAGACATAAGTTTGTTATCTTTTTCTTTGATATCTTGAACTTTTTGAGTTTTCATTTTATTTTCTTTTATGCATATTTGTGTTGTGTCACCCCCTGTTGAACCCGATTTGCATTACGGCCCCAACTACTGATTGATCTCGTGTGCCTAAGATCAATTTACAACGTGGGTAGGCAGACTGAAGATCAATGGAGTTACTTTGGTAACCAGGCGTTGGGAAGCGAGTTGGGAACGACGAGGCTGATATCAAATCTAACCAGATTCCCACCGAATCACCAAAGGTTAGAACGTCATTTGGGTGCCGCGACCGATACCAAGCCAGTTGGTCGTCACATGACGAGACAACACGACTGACGCGACAGGCGGACGTCACGTTTGGAGCGGCGACACCCGAACGGAGCAGCGAGGAGCGAACAGCTGGCGCCGCGGCGAGGACGTCACAGTTGGTGCCGTGGTAGACCAGGATAGGACGTCACATTTGGCGCTGCGACCAGGGGACGACGTCACACTATCTCTTATTGTTACATCCCCGGGCAACGCCGGGCTCTACTGCTAGTACCTTATAAATAATGAATTATACCGTTATGAGAAGGTTGAAAGACAAAAAACCTATCAGAGATGCTACTTGGTCTCAGTGAAAAAAGAAAGATAGACATGTTCAAATCTATTTTAGTGTAATGAAAAAAGATGCCAATTTTAGTTTTTTCATTTGTACCTCCTTGCTTCTTAAAATAATGACTAGCCTTCATATTTATGATTGTTATTGCAATATTTTGTTAAAGTTGTTAAGCTCAGATATGGGAATTTTTACGGATATTGTAGTGTAGAAATCGCCATGAAGTTATTCAATCATTAACTGAAGAATTTATATTAATCAGAAATTTAAAATAGAAAAACGTTGAAATTTTCACCAGGTTAAAACTAGTCATTTTTATCGTTTTATATGATGATTACTGTATGTTCCTCTCTTTATATTTGATCAATTAGTTCCTTATACATGGCAAAGTATTATTTATCTAATGGTATTACTTATAATAGATTTTTATAAATATTAACGTTGTAGTCGTCGTTATTTTATTACACGTCGACTTGTTTTAGTATTGACAATCGTCGAATTGGTAGGAGGTGAAAGAAAGGTAGAAGGAGAAGTGATAGTGATGCTAATGGCGGCGGTTATAGCAGAAGTGTATACTGCGCGCGCATAATATATCGCTGCGCTTTTTGGAAATCAATAAGAGGCAATTTGCTAGCTGGATGCTATTAGCATAATACGTGAGATGAAAATGAATGAATGAAGAGAAACGAGCAAGAAACAAAGTTTCAGAAGAAAACATGAAAGAAAGTACGGGAAGGATCGATGGAAGGGTAGGAGGAGAAGGATAGACGGCAAAGAAGAAATGATATACAGGTGAAGGAATAGGCGAATAACACGGTGGGAATTTGTGAAGGGAGGAGGAATGAGTTCTAGGGGAGAAAGAATATGATGTTTAGGGCGAAAATGGAAGTGGAGCGATGATAATTGAAAATGAAGAAAGAGGGGGAAATGTGAATTGGATCTGATAGAGAAAAAGAAGAAGATTTTGCATTAACAAAAGAAAGAATAGAAGAATAGAGGAATGAAGGAATGAAGGAATGACAGCAAAAATAAGAGGTAAATGGAGAAAGTTTGCAGAAAGTGCTGAAAGAGTCAAGTAAGCAAGTAAGAAAGAAAGAAACAAAAAAGAAATATAATGAATAAAGAAGGTCACAGAAAAGGCTTTTATTTTTTACTTTTTTAAGTATTAGTACAATTAATTAATTAATTGATAAACAAAGAAAGAATGAATATTAAAGGCTTGTAGGGAAGTCATGTATTAAAGCAAGCAATGAAGAGAGATTTAAAGACGAAGCAAAGAAACAAAGAATGAAAGAGAAGTTTTGTATAAAATGTATTTATTTATTTATTTTTTTAAGCGTTTCCCCCCAAGCAAGGCGAGAAGCCACTAGGACGCAAGGGGTTACAGAAAACTTGGAGCACGATCAGATTGGAGTGATCGAAGAAAGGATGAAGAGAAGGGTAGTGGATAGATCAAGGCAACTGGAGATGCCGATTGACATTACATTTGAATAGCTGGAGATTATAGCTCTCCGGGAAACTGGAAAGCAAGCGAACAAAAAAGAAAGAAAGAAAGAAAGAAAGAAAGAAAGATAGAAAGAAAGAAAGAGTGGTAAAAAGGTTTGTAGAAAATGCATGAACTAAGGCAAGGAAGAACAAACAAACGAAAGAGGGGTAAAACTGTTTGTAAGGAAATGCCTTCATTAAAACAAGTAAGAAATAATTAAGAAAGGACAAACGAGAAGTAAAAAAAAAGAATGTTCGTTGGCGCAAGAAAGAGAGAAACAAAAAGAAAGAAAGAAGACAGGAAGGGAAATAAAATAAAATATCCAAATAAAGATAAAATGAAAGAAAAGAAAATAAAGAAAAGAAAATAGACAACGAAAAAGAAAAATGAAGTCGGAGATAACGGAATGATGATTTTACTAAAAAAGGTCAAAATAACCGAAGGCAAAAAATGAAACAGAGAGATTTCATCTCATACAATGGCGGAAATAATATCTTTCTTTGAAATGCAACAAAGTAAAATTATATATGACAAAGAAAAAGTGGACGGAATTTATATCGTCAGATTCTTTAACGCGTCTTGGCGATTTACATTTTCGATTTAAAACAAAGTTCCGTAATTACGATACCAATCAATCATAAATTAGTTTTTCCAGATACATGAGAAAACAATATTGATAGATTTACGCCAAGAAGATGTACTTGCCTTCAACAATATAGAAGTAGACGCTACGACAAAGTATGATATGATTCAGTAGAAACATTCACTGAATAAGTTCTTACGAACTTTTGTACAATGTTTTTGCGCGCCTGAATATTGCCTATTTCACAACTTACACTGTCGCTTTATTTGAAATTGTTTTTACTACCATCTATCTATCTATCTATCTATCTATCTATCTCTCTATCTGTCTGTCTGTCTGTCTCTCTCTCTCTCTCTCTATATATATATATATATATATATATGTATATATATATATATATATGTATGTATTGGAGGATAAAAAAATATTGAAAAATTAACAAATTATAATTTTCGGACACACTGAGTTGCATATTAATATTTTGGGGGTTTTATTATTACAATTAGGTTACTCTAGTTTCGGCCAGAATGGCCATGATCAGGAAAAAAAAAGTTTCCTGCTTCTTAGTAGCAGTGAACTACAGGTATGAATGACTTACCGAAGAAAATGAACTTTGTTTTTTTTTTTTATCGTTAAATTTGGTCAGACCTTGTGTTGGTCAAACGGCCTATTTTAAGTTGTTTTTAACATAGTCTGTGGAGATTCATGCGACTCAGACTTCCTTTGGTCATTTTGA